CAAAATGGATTTACTGTATCATGTTATGTCCAAATTAACAAGACAAACCTGTTTAGTTTTTGCCCATAGCAAGGTAGTAATTCCAGATACTGCAATGGCAGAACATATTAGAGTTACTCTGTTAACTAACAGTCTGAAAGTTTAGTTAAAACATATCTAACTAATACCATCCATCCATTATCTACACCGCTTATCCTAAAGAGGGTCGCAGGGGGCTGGAGCCAATCCCAGCTGACATTGGGTAAGAGGTGAGGTCCACCCTGGACAGGACACCGGTCTATCACAGGGCTGACATGTAGACACACTCAGTCCTAGGGGCTATTTAGAGTTACCAATCAACATAAGCTGCATGTCTTTGGACTGTTGGAGGAAGCCGGAGTACCTGGAGAGAACCCACGTAGGCAGACGGAGGACATGCAGACTCAGCACAGAAAGGCCCTGGGTCGTCCCGGGCTCAAACCTGGAACCTTCTTGCTGTGAGGCGACAGTGCTAATCACTGTTCCACCATGCCCCGCCAACGAATACCCACTTACTTTTTTCACAAATTCAGTTTAAATTTGAAGTTAAATCAGTTAAACATAAGGGCTAACTTACATAGACCGTTTTCATTTCTGCCTGACCGGGGCAGCTTTTGTCACATCAGTGTTTTGTGATCATTAATCATAGCCCTTCACATATTACACGTGCTGTCTCTGACATTTCATTTTGTTTCTGTTGTCAGATGACTGCGTGACAATACATAAAATAATTTCATAAAGTGACAACAAGCATTAACAGTTCAGGCAGTTTTTCCTCAACTGATCAGGCTTATTTTCTGCTCTTAACTTATATTTCTCCAATTAAATGTTAGCTCCATATTTAAAAAACCGGAGTCTCAAACCCTTTTGTTTACGTGAACTGTCATGAGTAAGATTTAGAACCGTCTTAAAGACTGGGCAAATGCTATTCCGCAAACAAAAAAAGCAGAAAAATGAACAGACACTGCTCCAAACAGCATTTTCCTTCTCTTGCCCTGTGGCCAAACAGCTTAGATCCAAAGAGACCTCATGCAGGAGACATTATTCATCAGTAATCCAAACTCAGCGGGTGTCAGGAAGGCAGGGAAAATAGAGGAAAATCATTTATGTCTCCATCTTGGAACGTGTTCAAACCACATTTCTAATTTAAATTGAACACAATGCTGGAAGAAGGTTGATTTTCAACCAGCTGCTGTGGAAACACTGCTTTCATTCAATCAGCGATTTCAATTCAAAAATTATCATTTAAAACCACAGAACCTGACCTGTGGAGACTCTGGCTGTGTACTTGTGCCAAAAAGGTTTTCACAATATTCAAGTTGTTCTGACTCCAGCTTCCTCCCACAGTCCAAAGACATGCAGCTTAGGTTAGTGGTGACTCTAAATTGCCTGTAGGCAGTGTCTACTTGTCAGCCTTGTGATAGGCTGGCGACCTGTCTAGGGTGGACCCCGCCTCTCACCCAGTGTCAGTTGGGATTGGCTCCAGCCCCCGCGACCCTATTCAGGAATAAGCAGTATAGATAATGGATGAATGGAGTAATAACATAGACTTGGAGAATAGTGACTCAATCATTTGCTGTCCTATGAAAAGCCAGGATTGATGATGAATCAGATGAAATTTGCACCATTTTCAATGAAAAGACTGTGATATTAATAGTATATTGTGTGTCAGTCCAAATGGTATGATAACACTTAAGGAATGAGTTTCCTGACACACATGATCTGGACTTTTGAATATGATACTAAGTCCTGTCAGCATTTACAGGTAGGTATATCCTGATAGAACTGTAAAGAGCTGACAGAATAAATGGTTAGTTGTTGACTTGGGCTTGTAAAGTGACAATCTTACAAAGCAAGTTGTGTCTGTAACACATAATGCTGTCTCCCAAATCTACACATTTTCCAGTCTGAGCTCAATAGTTTTGTGAAAAATGTTTGTTTGTGTGCCTCTGTGTAGAGTCATTACCCTTGCTCTTACCCTGCTTGTTCCTGCTCTGCAGACGATGAAGCCGGGTATTGTTTGGGGCAGAGGGCATCGGTAATGGACAGGAGTTCACTTTCAGGCAGGGTGGGGAGGAGGAGACGTAGAGACTGCAGGAGCACTTCAGCAGACACCTGACTCTGTTTCACCAGCTGAGCTGCAAACTCCAGTTCCTGAAATGAAAAGCAGTTCACTGCTTTCACTGGCATGCACACAGGATGCTCCAGGGCCTTTTTTTTCAAGTGAATAACATGTTTATATTCAAGATATTACTGGAAAAGCACTTCTGAAAAAATGTGACCTGGTCACAGTTTGCATAACGTCTCTTGAGCTCCATTTGTTCTTTTAAATCTTCTAAGGCTTGATTGTTTGCAGCTGTTTCTTGCAACCTGAAAACACCAGAGTTCCAACACTCAAATTAAATGGTCCATGTTCATGCATAAAATTCAGTGCTTCTGAGATATCTCTGACATGGCAACTCACCTCTCAGCCAACAGTGTGACCACCTGATCACACTTGTAGAGTGCCTCCTGGAGGATGGAGGCCATGCTGCAATCTTGCTGCAGGTGAAACACCTCATCTTGCTCGGAGTCATCCTCCCCCGCATCACAGTCATCTCGGTGTGTTTTATTTGACTCGACTCTGGCCTGAAACACCTGCAGCCCTTCCAACTCTGTCACTTCCTTGTGAAGCTGTTGCTCTGCTTCCTCTAGGCCCTGTACCGAGATTCAAATGAACTCTTTAATAAAAGTCTATGATGTGAATGACTGTGAAAAATGAAAATATGTAATAATAAATAAAAATGAAATATGA